AGTACCATTGATTCTTTAATGGATAGTGATTCATAAAACACATTCATGAACCAGAGCGCTCTTACTAATCCAAGTACCGAATCAACACTCAAGAGAATTATTTATCTACTTCTTTCTCAAGAAGGAATGGGATTCAGGGTCTCGGAATCCGTACCAAGTAAATCAAAAGACATAAATCCATAAATAGGAGTTTGTTAAGAACTCAGGATTAAGATCATCCTATATATGACCATCGGTAGACTCAATCAGAATTTCTATGCTTAATGGAAATTATTAGAAATTCATATTATGTCTGTGTCCTTGTTGCACATAATCTTATTATGTGAAATACACTCATTCAATATCTCGCCATATTAACAGTGCAGATAACACCTTTCCATTCTAAATGGGAATGACATGTATTAATAATGTTTTAATTAAAGATTCTGAACTTTAATTAAATTCATCATGAACAATGTTTTTTTATTATTATCCTTAAACACTATCCTCTCGTATATAACACTTATATACTATATTTAACGTTACATAAACAATCACGGAATTTTTATTTTATATTCATAAAATATTCATAAATATATGCACATAAAATGATGAATAAACTCTTTATTAATTAATAAATATCCAATTACATCTTAAGCTTCTAGGACACTATTCCCAACAACTACTACTACTAGTGCTGCTACTACTACTACTGCTACTAATACTACTACGGCTGCTACCACTACTACTACTACTACTACTGCCACTGCTACTGCAACTGCTGCTACTGCAACTTCTACTACTACTTCTGCTGCTGCTATTGCTACTGCTACTGATGCTGCAGCTACTGCTACTACTACTGCTACTGCTACTGCTACTGCTACAGCTACTGCTTCTGCTACTACTACTGCTACTGCTACTGCTACTGCTACTGCTCCTGCTACTCCTCCTACTACTACTACTACTACTATTACTCCTACTCCAACTGCTACTACTACTCCTACTGCTACTGCTACTGCTACTGCTACTGCTACTGCTACCGCTACTGTTACTGCTACTGCTACTACTACTACTAGAACTACTACTACTGCTACTGCTACTCCTACTATTCCTGCTACTGCTACTCCTGCTATTGCTACTACGGCTATTCCTGCTACTGCTACTCCTGCTACTGCTATTATTGCTACTGCTACTGTAACTGCTACTGCTGCTGCTGCTGCTACTGCTACAGCTACTGTTACTGCTACTACTGCTACTGCTGCTACTGCTACTGCTAATGCTGCTACTGCTACTACTACTACTAGTACTGCTACTGCTACTACTAATACTACTACTGCTGCTGCTACCACTACTACTAATACTACTACAATTGTTGTTACTACTACTACTACTACTACTACCACTACTTCAGCTACTGCTACTACTGCTGCAACTGCTACTGCAATTGCTACTGCTGCTACTGCTGCAGCTACTACTACTGATGCTGCAGCTACTGCTACTACTACTGCTACTGCTATTGCTACTGCTACTGCGACTGCTACTGCTACTGCTACTGCTACTGCTACTGCAGTACTACTGCTACTGCTGCTACTGCTACTACTCCTGCAACTACAACTCCTGCCACTGTAACTACTGCTACTACTACTTCTCCTGCTACTGCTATTGCTGTTGTTGCTGCTGCTGCTGCTGCTACTGCAGCTGCTACTGCTGTTGCTACTGCTACTGCTCGTACAGCTACTACTGCTGCTAATGCTAATGCTGAAGCTACTACCACTACTACTACTACTACTATTGTTGCTACTACTATTACTACTACTACTGCTGCTACTACTACAACTGCTGTTACTACTACTACTACTACTACTTCGGCTACTGCTACAGCTGGTGCTACTACTACTGCTACTGCTACAGCTACTGCTACTCCTACTGCTACTGCTACTGCACTTGCAACTGCTACTGCTACTGGTACTTCTACTGCTACTGCTACTGCTACTGTACTATTGTTGCTGCTGCTTCTACTACTACTACAACTACAACTATTGCGACTACTACTGCTACTTCTACTGCTACTGCTACTGCTGCTACAGCTGCTGCTGCGGCTGCTGCTACTACTACTGTTACTACTCCTCCTACTGCTACTGCTCTTACTGCAACTGCTACTGCTACTGCAACTGCTACTACTACTGCTACTGCTACCGTTGCTACTGCTACTACTACTGCTACTGCTACTACTGCTACTGCTACTACTACTACTACGGCTACTGCTACTGCTACTGCTACTGCTGCTACTGCTACGGCTACTGCTACTGCTACTGCTACTGCTCCTGCTACTGCTACTGCTGCTACTGCTACTGCTACTGCTACTACTACTACTACGGCTACTGCTACTGCTACTGCTACTGCTCCTGCTACTGCTACTGCTGCTACTGCTACGGCTACTGCTACTGCTCCTGCTACTGCTACTGCTGCTACTGCTACGGCTACTGCTACTGCTCCTGCTACTGCTACTGCTGCTACTGCTACGGCTACTGCTACTGCTCCTGCTACTGCTACTGCTGCTACTGCTACGGCTACTGCTACTGCTCCTGCTACTGCTACTGCTGCTACTGCTACGGCTACTGCTACTGCTCCTGCTACTGCTACTGCTGCTACTGCTACGGCTACTGCTACTGCTCCTGCTACTGCTACTGCTGCTACTGCTACGGCTACTGCTACTGCTCCTGCTACTGCTACTGCTGCTACTGCTACGGCTACTGCTACTGCTCCTGCTACTGCTACTGCTGCTACTGCTACGGCTACTGCTACTGCTCCTGCTACTGCTACTGCTGCTACTGCTACGGCTACTGCTACTGCTCCTGCTACTGCTACTGCTGCTACTGCTACGGCTACTGCTACTGCTCCTGCTACTGCTACTGCTGCTACTGCTACTGCTACTGCTACTACTACTACTACTGCTACTACTACTACTACTGCTACTACTACGACTACTACTGCTATTGCTACTACTACTGCTACTGCTACTACTATTGCTACTACTGCTACTACTGCTACTACTGCTACTACTGCTACTACAGCTACTACTGCTTCTACTGCTACTACTGCTACTACTGCTACTACTGCTGCTGCTGCAACTACTGCTGCTGCTACTCCTATAGCTACTGCTATTGCAACTCTAACTGCTACTGCTACTGCTGCTACTGCTACTACTACTACTGCTACAGGTACTGCTTCTGCTACTGCTACTGCTACAGCTACTGCTACAGCTACTGTTACTGCTCCTACTCCTGCTACTCCTACTGCTACTGCTACTACTACTGCTACTAATACGGCTGCTACTACTCCTGCTATTCAAGCTACTGCTACTCCTGCTACTGCTACTACTGCTTTTCCTTCTACTGCTACTCCTGCAACTGCTATTATTGCTACTGCTACAGTAACTGCTGCTGCTGCTGCTGCTGCTGCTACTGCTACTGCAACTGCTACTGCTACTGCTTCCGCTACTACTACTCCAACTACTACTCCTGCTACTACTACTACTAATGCTGCTACTGCAACTACTACTACTGCTAATGGTAATGCTCATGCTGCTGCGATTACTAGTACTACTACTAATACGGCTACTGCTACTACTACTACTACTACTACTGCTGCTGCTACCACTACTACTACTACTACTACTGCCACTGCTACTACAACTGCTGCTACTACTATTACTACTACTACTTCTGCTACTGTTACTGCTACTGCTCCAACTCCTGCTATTGCTACTGCCATTACTACTGCTATTGCTGCTACTACTGCTACTCCTGCTACAACTACTCCTGCCACTGCTACTACTGCTACTGCTCCTGCTACTGCTACGGCTGCTGTTGCTGCTGCTGTGCTGCTGCTGCTGCTGCTACTGCTAATGCTAACCTAATGCTACGGCTACAACTACTACTACTACTACTACTACTACTACAACTACTGCTACTACTACTACTACTACTACTACTATTGTTGCTACTACTATTACTACTACTACTGCTGCTGCTACTACGACTGTTGTTACTGCTACTACTACTACTACCTCGGCTACTGCTACTGCTGCTGCTACTACTACTGCTACTGCTACTGCTACTTCTACTACTACTGCTACTGCTACCGCTACCGGTACTGCTCCTGCTGTTGCTGCTGCTACTACTGCTGCTGCTACTGCTACTGCTCCTGCTACTGCTACTCCTACTACTACTACTACTACAACTACTACTACTACTACTACTACTACTGCTACTGCTACTGCTACTACAAATGCTGGTGTGCTAGTACTGCTAATGCTAATCCTAATGCTACTACTACTACTACTACTACTACTACTGCTGCTGCTACTACTACTACAACTACTGCTACTGCTACTACTACTACTACTATTGTTGCTACTACTGCTGATGTAACTACAACTGCTGTTACTACTACTACTACTACTACTACTACTACTACTACTACTACTTCGGCTACTGCTACTGCTTCTGCTACTGCTACTGCTACTGCTACTGCTACTGCACTTGTTACTGCTACAACTACTACTACTGCCACGGCTAATGCAACTGCTACTGCTACTGCTACTGCTACTGGTGCTGCTGCTGCTTCTGCGGTTGCTGCTACTACTACTGCTACTGCTACTACTCCTACTAGTGCTACTGCTCTTACTGCTACTGCTACCGCTATTGCTACTACTACTACTGCTGCTACTACTTCTGCACCTATTACTACTCCTGCTACTGCTACTGTTACTCCTGCTACTGCTACTGCTATTGCTACTGCTACTGCTACTGCTATCTCCACTGTTACTACTACTACTACTGCTCTTACGGCTCCTACTACGACTACTGCTACTACTATTGCTACTCCTACTCCTACTCCTACTCCTACTCCTACTCTTACTCGTACACGTACTCCTACTCCTACTCCTACTCCTACTCCTACTCCTAGTCCTACACTTACTCCTACTCCTACTGCTACTGCTACTGCTACTACTACAGCTACTGCTACTGCTACTGCTTCTGCCACTGCTACTGCTACTGCTACTGCTACAACTACTAATCCTGATGCTACTGCTACTACTGCTAATGCTAATCCTGATGCTACTGCTACTACTACTACTACTACTACTACTGCTACTACTACTACACCTTCTGCTACTGCTACTACTACTACTACTACTACTATTGTTGCTACTATTATTACTACTAGTACTGCTACTGCTACTACAACTGCTGTTACTACTACTACTACTACTACTACTACTACTTCGGCTACTGCTACTGCTGCTGCTACTGCCGCTGCTATAGCTCCTGCTACAGCTACTGCTACTACTACTGCTACTGCTACTGCACTTGCTACCCATACTGGTACTGGTACTGCTACTACTACTGCTGCTACTGCTACTACTACTACTGTTGGTACTACTACTTCGGGTACTGCTACTGCTTCTGCTACTGCTACTACTCCTACTAGGGGTACTGCTCTTACTGCTACTGCTACCGCTACTGCTACTACTGCTATTGCTACTGCTACTCCTGCTCCTATTACTACTCCTGCTACTGCTACTGCTACTCCTGCTACTGCTATTGCCATTGCTAATGCTACTGCTACTGCTACTCCTGCTACTGCTATTGCCATTGCTAATGCTACTGCTACTGCTACTCCTGCTACTGCTATTGCCATTGCTAATGCTACTGCTACTGCTATCTCTACTACTACTACTACTACTACTACTAGTACCGCTACTACTACTACTACTGCTCCTACGGCTCCTACTACTGCTACTGCTACTACTATTGCTACTCGTACTCGTACTCATACTCGTACTACTACTTCTACTCCTACTCCTACTCCTACTCCTACTCCTACTGCTACTGCTGCTGCTGCTGCTACTGCTACTACTCCTACTACTCCTCCTACTACTACTACTACTACTACTACTACTACTACTACTACTACTACTACTACTACTACTACTACTACTACTACTACTACTACTACTACTACTACTACTACTACTACTACTACTACTACTACTACTACTACTACTACTACTACTACTACTACTACTACTACTACTACTACTACTACTACTACTACTACTACTACTACTACTACTACTACTACTACTACTACTACTACTACTACTACTACTACTACTACTACTACTACTACTACTACTACTACTACTACTACTACTACTACTACTACTACTACTACTACTACTACTACTACTACGGCTCTTACTACTGCTACTGCTACTACTATTGCTACTTGTACTCCTACTCCTACTCCTACTCCTACTCGTACTCCTACTCCTACTCCTACTCCTTCCTACTCCTACTACTCCTACCTACTCCTACCTACTCCTACTACTACTACTACTACTACTACTACTACTACTACTACTGTCACGCCCCCCAAATGGGGTGGGTGACGTGGAGCTCGATTAGGGATTAATAAAGCAGATTCCCAGACCGGGCCCCACACTTAACTGCATTAAAATATAAATGAATTACAGAATCCCAGAGCCTCTGACACACAGGGCTCCACCCCACAGGACATACAGTATCGTACATACATGCTCATGTAATTAATCATTACAACAGACATCAACCACAGTCTAGTAAATCCAATATTAAATAGGTTTACATAATTTCTCAAATTCCTTACATTTGTTCAAGAGGATAAACTCAATCCTCACTTGATCCAACAGTAGCAACTCCAGCTACCCTGCACCGCTCATCGAGTCTCCTGGGAGGGGTTTAACATTTAAAACATAAAACGTGAGCGAAAGGCCCAGTAGGATATAATTTGAAATATTTAAAATAAATGAGCGCATGAATAAATAATTGAATACATAAATAAAATAAGACATTCAGTCCCGACAAAACAGCC